CACATCGATTTATCCTTCGTTCGAGTGATCGATGAACGAGGACAAGGAAATTAGTTGAGATTCAGCGGAATTGTGCCCAGCGAAATCGCAACTTTTTCTTTCGGGGGGGATAGGGGTGAGGTTAGCGACAGGGTTTTTTGTTGCTGGAACTTTGTTCGAAAAAAAAAAGTGAGAAATCAATCGCTCTCTTCCAGCGAAGAATTGGATCCGAATTTCTGCCTGAAAGATCCACGACTCTGGATGCGGAGATCTCCTCTCGGTTCTTGGAAACGAAAAATCCCTCCGTTATAAAACGCGCTCGTTACTCGTGGGAACAGCCGCGGAATGGAAATAACAACGTTGTTCTTTCGTACACGATGCGACGCAAATGACAAAAGTTTCGTTATCGCAAACTTTGATGGGACGAGATACGTCGGAACATCTTTCGCGGCTAACTCGTACGAGAACAGTTTCGCGTGAAACACCGAAAGCCTTTAGTCAAGAGGACCAGGAAAATCTAGAATCTGGCTGAAGCGCATTCCTTTGGAATCAGCGACTCGGCTTAACCTTTAAACCGTAAATCCACATTCGAGGTATAAATAAGCAACGAGGTGGATACCCCGATTTCTTTCCATCTCGCGAGATATCGTCCGATATCTCTCTTTTCCTTTTCTTTTCCCTTTCTTTTTTTTTTTTTTCTTTCCTTCTTTTCTCCGACGATGAGGAAGTCAGCGCCGCGTTAAGTGCTTTAAAAAGTTATTTCGTCGAACGTAATACGGAAACGTGAATATTTACGGTGAAGGAGGAGAAGAAAAAAAAAAAGGGACGAAGGAACTTATTCCTTTCTATTTGATTTCGAGAATAACTTCAAACTATTCACGTGAACGATACATTACAGCGTGCAAAGTAACCTTACAAATATTTAAAACCGTGGTTCCTCATGCCCCCTAGGCAATGAGTTATTAACAGCGAGCGTTTTGCATTTCGTCTGAAAATGAGCTCAAATTTACATTTTGAATTCATTATTTCATAATTTTTCTTTTATTATATAATAATAAATAAAATATAATAAATATAATAATTTTTTATTATATAATAATTATTTTATTTTATTTTATAATAATTCAAATACTCGAAATAGGTAATATAATAATTTAAATGACCTTTTATTTTATATTAATTTAAATGTTTGAAGTAGGTATTACGAAAGAAAGCCTCCATCAAAATTATTTTATACTTGTGCGTTTCAGTTCTCTTTTATATGTTTTATAAACTTTTTTCTTTCTTCAACTGTCCTTTCGTTCGTTTATTTTTTACTTTCATGGATATCATGTCCTTTGAAAGTTAATAACCATTTCTTACGCTTGCTCCACAATTCACTTTTTGAATAATAAGAATTATGTGTCACTGGGGACATCAGGATTTAAAAATGCTTAGGGCATAGACAAAAGAAAAAAGGATTGGGAACCACTAGTCTAAGATAATGTTAATTTGCAACTCGTCTCGATATTGTTTCGAAAAGATCAGAGAGGGAACTCGACTTTCTCTAAAATTTCACACTTCGCTCGTAACGTTGCTTGTCGCGCTTCGAGTTGAAGCGCGAGATCCTTGCGAAAACTCGGCTGCTCTCGAATACGACGAACGTTGGTGGCGAACGAAATAGGAGAGTCTTCAGTACCAAGACAGAGAGAGACTGATACGAAAACTTGGCCAAACTATTCTAATTATTGGACTTTGCGAGCACTATGGAACGTGTTGACACTTTGTCCGGGGGCTTCGTAAAGATATATTCCCGCGAAGCTCGAAGAAACTACGAAATTGTTCCGTGGCTAGCACCGGGAACATTTAGCGGGTGCTCGCTTTGAATTACAGAACGCGAGTGAACGCGTCCTTGGATTTACATTAGACTATCTTCGCATTAAACTTCGCTGGACCGAGATACTGTCGGACGAGAGACGAAAATAAATAATTCATGCTTCTCCTCCCCGGACCGGAATACCAAAAGAAAGAAGGAAGCGAGTAGTTTGGCGTGTTTCCATCGGAACTGATATTTCAGATATAAATGCGTGGGAGTTTTCGAGGAAAAATATGTTTCACGCGCGGAATTTTTAACGTTCCGAACAAATACACGTAAAAATAAAAATCGTAAATAGGTCAGAAATACTGTAAGATGAATCCATTAAACATGGTTATATACTTCAACTCATCTGTTACAGATAATATTTCAACGTAATATTATTACATAATAACATGAATCTGTTATTATACTGTCCTATATAATAACAGATTCGTGTCACTACGTAGGGAAATCAACAGAATGAGAGAGTGAGGCTCATGCACGCTGAGGAAATTTTAATGTAGTGGGGAAATCGATGCAGTGGAGGGGATAGCGCGAGCGATCAGGAAAGAAGGGGCAAGGGCGCCAGTTAGCCACCTCTGTCTTAAGGTATCTTAGATTCTATTCTCGGTTCCCTTCTGTATAACCAAAATTGGAGCAACTGAATAAGAATTTTATTATTTGAATAATTTCAAGTATCCCTTTTGGGGAACACTTGTATTTCTTTTTCTCACAGAAAATGAAATAAGAACAAGAACTTTAGACGAGTATCTTGTCGCCTGTATCAAATACACTGATATTGACGAACTGGTATCTAAAAAAAGCAAGCTCAGTGTTCTCATTAAAAATCTTCGTACTTTTTTTAATTCATATAAATATATTTTTCTAATTAATTTATTGTTTCATTGTGGTGAAGTTGTTTGTGAATATATCCCAGGTATATCATTTGAACTGATAGAAAAAAAAAAAGTATATAAACTATGTATGGCCCTCAACAAATTTTTATCGGTCAGTTTTCAATTTTTTAAAACACTGATTCGTCCAACAAGTTATCGTTTCCCGCGGAGACAGGGCAATCGAATTCGCTGGCTTTGACGAAAGCAGAGTAAACCACGGTTTACTGAACTTTGTAAAGCGAGGCGCAACGTTGAACGGACGCTCATCAATCATAGTGGCCACGTGTATTCGGATCCTCCCTGTCCGCGTTCGCACTTCACGCGTCAAGCTTTCACAATGACAGACACACTTTCGAACAGTTTTGTATGGAAGAATTTCAGTTGGCAAAAATGTTACGCTAACGATTGTAAATCAAATCCTCGTCTCATAAACTTGTGCTTCGTGTTTCATTAATATTTTCTAAAATACAGTAGCAGAAATACATTCTACGCCAAAAGGAAACGCAATAAATTCATTTCCAATACAGACAGTCTCTCAAGCATTGAAACACTTTGTCATCTTGGGTAAACGTTTCGCTTGCTTGTAAATTTATTTCCAGATTATTTCTGACGCTTCTCCGGCAACAGAAGATTTCTGTGGAAACAGCCATTGCTAAGAAAAAAGCTTCTTCTTTCGCCAAGTAAACCTCCTTTCACCAACATCAATCCGGTACCTTCTTCTTAGATTCAAACTGTCGGTCTATTGTACGATCTTCATATTGACATTCTCTATCCTACTTACATTCTCATCGCAACAGAGACTCGAAAGACGTTCTAAACGATCATCAAACGCAGATGTTGGTTGGTTGTTTCCCGAAGATAACGTACCTCCAGGAAATAAAAATATTTGCCGACGAGCAGAATCTTTTCTCTAAGGAAAGATAAGATCTCGTTCTCACGAGCGATACGTGACTCGACGAGTGTGTATGTTCAACGTCATACATACATACATAGTCGACATATTTCGCGAATATCTATTTCTATGATTCATCGCGAAAGTGACTGCGAAACTCGGACTCGGAAAAAGTATTTATTAAACAGAGCTTGCAGCGTCGTTTCACGTGGGCTGGCTGGCCAGTATCCTAAACACTGCGGCAGATCAATATCTTTAAACTTCTTCCCGGAGACGAAAGTCTCTTCTTCCACGCGTGTAGGAAAACGAAAGACTATCGTTAATGTTTCCACTTTATCGATCCGCTTTGCCTATACTCCAGCTACTTACGCAATCGTGCCTTTATTTCTATTTATTTAATTCCATATAAAATGCGTTTTTCTACAACTATTTAACGTGGATGAACATAGGTCGATAAAATTTAATTTATTTGGAAACTCATTTGGAGAGGAGCTTGGCTCCTTAACACGTCTCAAGTATCCTCCGATCGTCCGATGCCGGGGCCCGATTCCTTTTCAAACTCGCTCGGCATTCGAAACAGCTGTTAAGCCGCGAGCGAGGCCGGTGTCTGGATCGAGTCAGCAGTCTGCCGGCCGCCACTCGTCGAAACCTCTCCCTCCCGTCTCCGACCGACCCCAGACAGAACCGCAGCAGCGAGTGGTGTCGCGCGCGCGACTCGAAAACCATTCGAAAAAGCGCGAGCAGATTCTCGTTGAGAAACTGGGAGAAAAGAAAAAGACATGAGTGCGAAGAGAGAGAGAGAAAGAGAGAGAGAGAGAGGGGTGAAAGGGTGAAAGGGTGAAAGGGTTAACCGGCTGAACGCAGAACGGAAGCGTGAACGATGCACGGGGCGGCCGAGGCCGGGTTAGCAGCGTTAGCGTGCTCCGGGGGTGAGAAAGGTGGTGGAGAGAGGGAGAGGGAGAGGGAGAGGGAGAACGGCAAGTGTCTCGGTGGGGTTGGTAGGGAGATGCGCGGTGTATTAAACCCGGTGACTCTTGCCGCGCAGCGTGGGAGTTAGTTCTGGTGAGGGCGCCAGCCAGCTCACTCGCTAAACTAACCCACCGTCCCAACCCTTCGATCCTCCATCCCTCGACCTTCGGCCAACAAAGCAACATCCACGGCCGCAACCTCCTTTTCACCGAACTCCGAAACAGCCGTTGTTTTTCTCCGCGACTTCCTGCCCGGGGCCCGCGTCGAAGCACACACACACACACACACACACACACACGCATACACACGCGCGCGCGCGCGCACACACATACACGCATACAGCACGCCGCAACGCTTCGTGCAACCATTGCGAAAGAGGAAGGGAAGGCAAGGCAAGGCAAGTCAAGGCAAGGCAAGGCAAGGCAAGGCAAGCGGCGACCATCGCAACAAACGGCGAACCGCACCACCTCGCTTCGTGTCGTTCTTCGTCACGTTCGCGTCTCTCTCCAGAGCCAACCGTGCACACGTACGGCTCTCTGCTCGCGGCACGAACGCGAGGCATGCGAGGAAACACGTCGAACGCTCACGTCGTGAGAGGGTGTGCAACCGATTAGTACGGACGTGCGGAGAGAGTTTCGGAGCGGCGAGTGAGTGAATTCGCGGGGTGAGTTCGTCGAGGAGGATCGTGTTCGAGGAACGGAGCGCGGACAACGGAGCGAGACGCGAGAGAGGATTGATAAGAAGGGAAGAGGAAACAGGTTGATCCCCCCTTCCCCGCCAACACCCCCCGGTGTGTCGGATACGCGTTTTCAATAGAGGAGATACTGTCGTGGTGGGTGACGAGTAATCGGCGAGAACGGCTGCCAGCAGCATGCTAGCCGACTGGTGTTCGCACCATTTTGTGTTCGCGTGATCCGGTCCGTCGGTGATGAACAAACTGGATGACACTCGTGCTCGTGACGGCGAGAACGAGTCGACGAACGAAGTTTGAAGTAGTACACGAGTACACGAGTTTACGTACGTACATACGTGTCGAGTTTATCGGCGACCGAGCGTGAACGGAGCGGCGAGAGAGTGTCGAGAGAGAGAGAGAGAGAGAGAGAGAGAGAGAGAGAAAGAGAGAGAGAGAGAGAGAACCGCCGCACGAGGATCCGCCAGAAGGAGAAGAAGAGCGAAGAGAGTTTACGTGCGACGGGAAAAGCGGAGGTTTCGAACGGATCGCATGAGAAAAGGTCCCACGACCTTTGGGAAATAAGGCGAAGAAGGGCGAAGATTTCGCAGCACGCAGTCAAAGAAGCAAGTATATCGCACAGAGAAAAAACACACGTAAAACACACCGTATTTTATTATACCGCAACAATACACTGGGTAATGTTCCGCAACTGCACCTTTGTCCGATAATTTTCTTTCTTCTAAATGTCTCTCTCTCTCTTTATATATATATATATTCATATATTACATATATTATTTAAATATATAAATATATACATGTATGTATGCATATGTATATGTATACTTATCTTTGTATATCGTATATATATATATATTCTCTCTCTGTTCACACGCTCCGCCTGTGTTGTGTCACACTCTACCATTGTATGATCGATGTGCGTACTTATGTTCGTCTCCTTCGATGTTTCCGACGTCATCGACGATCAGCTGTGTCGTCCACCGCCTTAATTAATCCTCTTCCTGCCGCCGCACCCTCCCCCCCTCCCCCTCCCCCGAAAACCAGGGAGCACGGTTTTGCACATTTTTCGGGCACCTGTTGATCTCTCTCGTGCTACACAGCCACTTTTCCGCACTCTAAAGTCGTTCGGCGAGTCGTTCGATGTCACGCCCGCTGCACGCCGTGTGTCACACCGCACCGTAGAAATTTCGCCTATAATGTTATAATTAACGCCTCGCACCGGCGCACCAGCACCCCTCCCGAAAAATTCAAGCTGTTCGACGGAGACTAGTTCGGCGAACTGTAAGTGTCCTGTATAACCTAAAAGAAAAAAAAAGAAAAAAAAAAAAGAAACATCCAGTAGACAATCTGCAAAAGCAGCCGAAGAACCAGCGTGGTCCTTCACGTCGAGGAATCGGCAGAGAAAGAGAGAGAGAGAGAGAGAGAGAGAGAGAGAGAGAGAGAAAGAGAGAAGCGGAGAACGAAGAAAGCAGTATGCCGCAATAGAGACGGTGGAAAGAAAGATGGCGACGCAGGTAACCGAAGGGCGAGAGGACACAAGGGGTAAGAGCGGGAGGACCAGGAGAAAGACAGTCCGATCAGGAGCACGTAACCAATCGTGGCCGATCGATCGGGTTTCGTTGTTGCCCGCACTTGTCGAGCACCTTAATAAGCACCCATGACCAGCACCAGCACCATTCATCACTGGCACCACATCACTCTTCTTCAGACACGCTCTCGGCTATCGTTTGTTTTTTGTGTCCTTTCTTTTTCTTTTTTTTTTTTTTTTTTTNTTTTTTTTTTTTTTTTTTTTTTTTTTTTTTTTTTTTTTTTTTTTTTTTTTTTCACTAAACGCCTGATTTCAGGACGCGGATATTCCCTCGGAGAACCCCACCGAGAGCATTGAACACTGAGCGGAACGAGACACGTGACTGTGGTCACGGGGTGCAACGATTGCGAGGATCGAGTCGAGAAGAAAAAGAAAGAGAGACAGAAACAGAGAAAGAGAGATAGATAGAGAGAGAGACAGAGAGAGAGAGAGAGAGAATCGTTGTTTGTCTCGCATATCGCACCGAGCACGAATCGGGCGAGTCGATTTCGAAGGTTCTTCAAGGACGATGATGACGAGGAGGAGGAGGAGAGAAGGAGCCAAGTAGAAGACAGAGTAAAAGTAGTTGAACGTTTAAGGAACACGTTTAAGAAACGTTTCGTTTCCCATGTAACGGAAGCCTACACGGTTATCGATTAATCGCCGGTCATCGCTCATCGCCCGCGTTTTCTTCCCGTCGAGTCGCGCCCTACAGAGTCGCTTCCTCTCCCCAAGTCGCGGCACAGCTAACGAAAAGTCGGCCTAAAAAGAAGAAGAAGAAAAAAAGCTCCTCAGCGTCGTGCCTTTCGACTGGCAAGCGAGAAATCGAAACGTGTGGTACGCGTGTCGTTACGACATTAGAAAAGAAAGCAAGAGAAAGAGAGAGAGAAAGAGAGAGAGAGAGAGACGAAGCAAAGTCGGTAAAAGACTGTACGAAGAATCGATCGAAGAAGAAAGAAGAGTAAAAGAGTGAAAGAGAGAGAAAAACAGAGAGAAAGAGAGGAAAAGGAACGAAAATAAAAGAGACTCTTTGGTGTACTCTTGAATCGATTGGAAAGCCGGCCCCGGTTAAATCCGGTGAGAAGAAGCGACATATATGATGGCGGTGTGTATGTTCTGGCTGCTCACGTACGTGGGACAAGGATTGGACCTGGCGGTGGGTAATCGTCCGGTGATCATCATGCAGGGTGCACAGGAGCAGGACTACCGGCACGGCAGCGGGATCAGAAAGAAGAGCGAGCTAAACTCGGTTGGCAATAACCTGTTGCACTTCAGGATATATCCTCCGGAGGCTTCTCACCGAGACGACCTGTCCAATTGGCTGCTACTGAACGACGAGCCGCGGATCTCTTCGTGGACGCCGGCCGGCATATTGATCGACGATATGATCAGAGAGCCCCGGGAACTGCAGACGGTGTTCTTCGCCCTGTCGCCGGCCATGCTGAACACGCTCTACTCCGAGTACGTGAACACCGCAGCCACGCAGCCGGCCGAACAGTTTTTCCACGCGGAGGAGAACAAACCACTGCAACAGCAGCAAGGGCCGCTGATAGGCGGCGGGCCTCTCGGCAGTCTACGCAACAAGAAGCTGCGTGTCGACTGTAGACACTCGAGGAACACGGTCAGCCTGCCGATAAGAGTGTGCGACGACAAGGCAACGACCGGACGCAAGAGCCTCCAAGAAACCAGACAATCCAACTACGACGATCTCTTCGAGCAGAAGATGAACGCAGCTGCGGCTGCTGCGGCTGCTGCGGCTGCTGCTGCTGCGAACGTGAAGACTGACGCGACGATCTCGCGAGGGCCGGAGAAGCCGAGGGTGGCTTCCTCGTCGGATTATCAGAGCGCCGCGTTCGTGTCGAGGCCGCCGTTCGGCCTGGACGCGATCAAACCACCTGGAAAGAGGAGCCAAACGCCTCCTCCTGGAGTCGGACGCCGCTCCATCGACCTAGGAGGAGGAGGAGGAGGAGGAGGAGGAGGAGGAGGAGGAGAGTCCAGCCCGCATCAAGCTCAACCGCTGTCCTCCCTCGGGAACGGCATCAGCGTCGCTTCTCAACTCATGCTCAGATCCACCAGGGGAAGCATACAGTACGACGTGCCGCAAATCGGTGAGTCTCGCCCTCTTCTCTTTCCTTGCTATGTCGGTCGCCGGACAACTCCCAGCCGAGCTGTATAATAATTGACTCGAACTACACCCTAGTTGGTCTTTTACACTTTACAGTTCTGTTCGAGAACCTTGTTGTGAGAGTTAGCCAATTGATGGGCGATTAATCAAGATTTTTGTATTCCAATTTGAATCGAATTGTGCGCGACGCGTTGTATACGAATATACAACGTAATATTAGATCGATGTTGGTATTTATAAATCTATCATCGAGGTTTATTTATAGAGGGCGGTCTATAATCGGTAACTTAAATCTCTCGAGTTGCATACTCTCTAATTTTACTCGCCGATACTTGCATCAAAGATTCACGACCAACCTTGGTGTTACTTTTCTCCAAGGAGAAATTTCTTTACCGAAATCTCCCTGAGCGATTCAGAGAAAATTCCCTCTGCTTTAGCTTCTTTACCTTGTAATATAGCGAGCCACCGCCCGACCAACGCAAATCATTATAGATCAAACGCGACGAATGTAGATCGTCAAGGACTCGGCTTTAACTTTCGACTTGGCTCGGTCGCTAGGAGACCGTCGCTTGCCAAATACAGATTGAGCGTAATATTTTCACGTGGCTCCTGTCATTGTGCATAGTATGTCGACGTGTACGTATTTCTCATTTGGACAAAATCGTAGGATTAATGCGACTGATAAGGTCGATTAGTTAGAACCTGATGACTGACGTTGACCAGCCAGATTCAAATCCCGAGGTAACGACGTTTCACCATAGCATTTGAACCATTTCTTGGGTAGTAAGTTAATTCAAACTATAAAATTCGAAGTAAATTTATCTTGAAACTAATTCGAATCGTACAATTCTACAAGGCTATAGGCTTGAGCCATTTCTTGGAAGCAAATTTATCTTGAAACTAATTCGAACCATGTAATTACATGAGGTGAAGTTTGAACCATTTTTTTTTTTTTTTTTTTTTTGGAAGTAAATTTATCTCGAAGCTAACTCGAACTGTACTCAAGTTGAATATTTGCCATTCGAACATTCGAAAAGTTCGTTTAATGTGTAATCGCGTGAGCGTTTCTTTGTGTTTATTCGGCATTTGAACCATTTCTTGGGTAGTAAATTAATTCCATCTATAAAATTCGAACTACATTTATCTTGAAACTAATTCGAATCGTACAATTCTACAAGGCCACAGGCTTGAGCCATTTCTTGGAAGCAAATTTATCTTGAAACTAATTCGAATCATGTAATTCCATGAGGTGAAGTTTGAACCATTTTTTCTTTTTTTCGGAAGTAAATTTATCTCGAAGCTAACTCGAACTGTACTCAAGTTGAATATTTGCCATTCGAACATTCGAAAAGTTCGTTTGCGCGTAATCGCGTGAATGTTCCTTTGTGTTTATTCAGAATCTGTGAAACATCCCTCCAAACTCTTTGCCCAGTTGCTCGGAATTAATTTCTAAAGTCGTCGCCATTCATGTGTTTTCCAAATACGCACCTGTGGTGCAAACGCGATTATTTTCATCGCACACTGTGTCTAATCGACACGGTCGTTGTTGCAACAATACTCTGCTTTCTCTGCTTTCTCTGCTTTAACAGCGACATCTCCTGCAGTTTGTTTTCTTTGACAAGGCAAAGCCGGACAATCATTTCGCTAAAAGCATCCTCTACGAGATTCGACGTCTCCGGCGTAATTTTGTTCTAAATGTTCTACGGAGGATACTCTTCCAAATTGAATCCCATGCATTCGAGACTAGGATTCGAATTAACGGAATTTCCACGTTCGAAATAATCTGTTTGATTCTCTGAGAAGCTTTCAAGCCTTCTTTCCGAGCCTCGAGAAAGAAATTAATCAGCTGTTGTGACAAATGTATTTTAAATAAATATCTGAATATTCTGTATACACTTTCCGATCGAAGGTCAAACAACTTTTTCGAGATAATTCTTGCTTTTGAATTTATTAGCCCACAAGCAGTCGTCGTTTTTTGATACTGTGCGAAATTTTATTTTATTTAAGAATTAATATAGCTTTAATCTCCAGCGTTATTGACGAAACTTTCTATTCCCTTTTTGTAAGAGAATGATTTTGAAGTGAAAAGAAATAAGCCTTCCAGATTTTATACCGTGGAAATGATTTAAATCGTAATTTCTTAAATTTTTTTACACCAACGCTATTGACACTTTCTGGTACTTCAAGGCACCAGGATAAACATCATTAATGGCATTAATGTATTTTCGAAACTCTGCTTTCGAGATTGCAAATATCTTGCAAAGTGTCAAAGTGTCTTCTTTCTCTCTTTTCGAAATTTTTCTGTCGAATTAACTTTTGCCCTATAGCATTTGAATCCGCTCGTCTTCGAAAAATGTTATTTCAGAGTTCACGAGTGACACGATGTCGCAGCGAGTTTTAAATTTCTGATCGGAACATTCCGCGCGTTGTTGCGCCGAATTTCTCGTACAAACGCGCAAACATCCGCGTTTACAGTCAATTTACTTAAGAGCGGCAGAATGCACGCCCCGCCGCTATTAACTATGCAGAGCATGTACACTTATGCATGTCGTGTTACACAGTTTTTAACAAAAACTACTTCGACCTATATTACGGAACGCATTGCTTTCGGTAATGGTACACCCACACAGAAACGAAAGGTTTCGTCCATCGTGCTGAATATTCAGATCGATTAGTTGGAATTATTCCGGGCGTCAAAGCATTTCGTCACTGTGCGTTAGGAATTTAATTGTATTCTCTCCCTCCCTCCCTCTCTCTCTCTCTCTCTCTCTCTCTCTCTCTCTCTCTCTCTCTTTCTCCGATATATCGTGCAATTGATGAACGTTTGAAACGCGTCCGGGGAAATTGAACGAAATTTGAAAAAAAAAAACCTCCACAGGCGATGTATTTTCGCAGTAATGGAATTCTCTCTCCTCTTTTTTTTTTTTTTTTTTTTCGTTTGCCTTTGCCTGTTGCCTTTTATTCGCCAGCTCCGCAATCGTTTTTACTAAAAAAGTTTTCCTTTCCTCGGCGAACTTTCTCCGCGAACGTAATTTCTCATAGGTTTCAGTTTGACGACGAAGCAATAAAACGTACGAGAGAACTATACTAAAGATACGTATACTATACGAAGCGAAGAATTCGAGAGAAATGTGTGAAAAACTTTGGAGCGGCGTGGCGACCGGGACGGAGGATCGATCGACTCGACGTGTTTTTTTTTCCGGGTGTTTAACGAACTCTCGAAATCGGCGAGAGAGGAAACTGACTAATTGGACATCCCGCCTCGAGCTGTAAACCGGTGACCTTTCGAGAAACGACGAGAAATGGAGAACGATTTTCTTATGCCGATGCTACGAGAGGTCATCCATTCGGGTATCTCTGCGAGAATACTTTCGTGTATTTTTGAATTACGCGCGAAATATGAAAATGTTCGCCAGAAACTTCTCGCCGAGACCCATTGGAATGGAAACGAATCCGTGCTCGGCGCGTGACACAGGTGATTCACAGGGTCGAAGGGGTCAGTGACGAGGTCACGGTGCGACAATTAGCGGTGAACTTTTTCCTTTATTTCTTTTCTTTTTTTTTTTTTTNTTTTTGCTCATTCGCCTGTATCGATTCTTTCTGGGCGGTACGCGTGGCTCGAGGCCCTTCAACGACGTTTTATCGCGGCTGGCGATCGCGATGGCACACCCCGTGTGACCGATGTCCGGCTGGATTACCGCGAACCGACAAATTAATTCGCCCGGTCCCGGTGCCGCGTGTCGGACATTTCCGCGGAACGAGAAATAAAAAGAAAAAAAAAAAAGAAAAAAAGAAAAAAAAGGAAGTGTGACGGCTGGCTCGTGGGATTGATTCTCGTTTGAGTGACCTTTCGGGGGCGGTACGGTTGTGACTCTGACCACCTGCACGAAGCGAAGCGCACGTCGCTAATTAAACGATCCTTCCGCGTTTTCTCGTCTGCCATTTCACCCCTGCGAAAGTGGTTCCTCCTCTGCCACTCCCGATTCCGATTTGTCGATGCGGGGCAAGTTTAAATGGTACGGTGTTTGAACGGCTTTGATCGATCCTCTTTCTGAAAACGAACTTGCGGAACTGCTATTAACTAGCGGCGTGATAACATGAATGAACAGTTTCGCGACCGGCGATAAACGGACAAAACGTGTAAGCTGAATACGGCGTGTAATTTTCAAAAGTCTGTAGCTGAGTGCGGCAAGGCTCTATAGGCTGTTTATAGGTATGTGAAGGTACCTACAGATATTGCATCACGGTATGATTATAGTCGTTTGTTCGAAGTTTTGAAAAATTGAACATTACAAATGCGTACGGAGAAAAACAAGATTTCTTTAGAATAAAACGAATACGATGAATCCACGAGTAAATAAAATTTACATTAACTTGCAGTAACATTTTTATATAACAGTTTGCGTGGTGTTTATTAACAACTTGAAATAAAAAAACAATCCAACGTGTTTAACAATAGCAATTATGGCTAGAAATGACGTGAAATTATCTCGATGATAAGTTTGGGACGAAAATACAATGATGAGACAGAGATTGCTCTGTTCGACGCTCAGAGTCGATAGTTCGAAGTTCTAGCTTGCTTTTCGTTGCGACGAAACGAGATTATGCAAGAGTGGCCATGTGTGTTTGACAATCGATAAAAATTTCATTGCAGAACCAAGCGTTTCCGTATCGTTTCGTCGTTCGTCGTTTGTTTCTTTTTTTCTTCTTTTTTTAAATACAACCGGCTCGATTGAATAAAATATTTCGCGTGCGAAGAAATATTTAAAACAATAATCATCGCGCAACGTTCAAACGAAAATTGTTTGCCGATCAGAAACATTTGCCCGCAATTTTTATTCCTCATCTAGAGGCCAGTTTGTTGTTTGAATATTTCACGAACGCAATAATAAAAAAAAAAAAAAGAAAACGCCCACGCTGTGCCGCCTCGCGATGTGTAAATATTATATTTAGTCACGCAATGACATAGTTGTACTCTGTCAG